TTTTTCAGGTCGTTCCGTCTTATCTTCTAGAAGTTTCAACAATTTATTGTATTTTTCAGGTCGTTCCATCTTATCTTCTAGAAGTTTCAACAGTTTATTGTATTTTTCAGGTCGTTCCATCTTATCTTCTAGAAGTTTCAACAATTTGTTGTATTTTTCAGGTTGTTCCATCTTATCTTCTAGAAGTTTAAACAATTTATTGGATTTTTCAGGTCGTTCCGTCTTATCTTCTAGAAGTTTCAACAATTTATTGTATTTTTCAGGTCGTTCTATCTTATCTTCTAGAAGTTTCAACAATTTGTTGTATTTTTCAGGTCGTTCCATCTTATCTTCTAGAAGTTTCCAAGATTATTATCAATTTATTTTATTTTTAGAGCCTGAATCAGAATCAGAATGAAGTTGCCAAGTTCGTTCAACTTGTTCAACGTTTTCCAGTTGAAAACAATCCTTTAGGTCATATTTATGTCTGCGTGCTCCGGTCGTGGCATGAGCAATTCCAACATAAACAGATTATTCAGAACCTTTGTGGACCTGTAATAAAGGAGGTAAACACGGGATGAGGCTGTAAGCTGGTTGTGTGGAGAATATTACGTAACCCCAACTGCAGGAGACAGATGGGAGGTTTTGAAGAAATGTCGCATTTCATGCTCCGCAGGAGAAAACCTGAAATGTTCAGAGGAACTCGAGGGTTAAGTTCTACCACCTGGAAGTGGACAGTCTGCTGTTGGACTCCACCAGGGCTGTCCATGGACCTTGTGGACAGGATCTGACGGAGCGGTCATGAAGAAGAGGGGGTCTGGTTTGGGAGTCTTGTTTCTGCTTTATGCAGATGATGTGGTTCTGTTCGTTAAGCCGTGATCTTCAGATTGCGTTGAACGTTTCATGTCTCTCTTGTAAATGAATCCCCGAGGCTCAATGGGATTAACCTGTACAAATAAAGGTTGAATGAACGTTGGTGCGGCCTAATTGATCAGTTGAGCTGAAAGGCAAAGATCTAGATTTATTGGTCCATCTACGTTCCAACCTTCAGCTGTGGTTCTGAGGTCTTGATCATGACCAAAAGACCCAGGTCCATGCTTTCTTGAAATATGTTGGTGATGTCGTGCTCTCTTGGTCGTTGTCTATTTACTGAGGCATTTTTTTCATCCGTTTTGTAGATTTTTTGGCGTCTCTGAACCAGTAATTGAACGTTGTTGTGGTTTCAGGCAAAACATTTCAAATGAATCTCGTAACTTTCACCTTCATCTGTTTGTTTGGACTTTTGATGTAAGAACAGGAACAAACTCTCGGGGATTGTCAGGATGTGCAGCAACACTGCTGTTATAGCCCAACAGAACCTCACTGACCTACAGAACCTCAGTGACCGACACAAGGCGAGGTCAGGGAACAAGGCCTGGCTGATTCTGGCAGATCCTGATCACCACTCCATGGTGAGTTCAGGCAGTGGTGTAGTCTACGTGATACCCGGGCATACAGAGTACACCCACTAGAAAAGCTTAAGAATTTCAGTATAACCACTTAAAAGTGCCCAATGATACATGAAATATCATTAGACACATGTCACTGATACGTTAAACGGCAGTTAAATGCTTCCGTAACAATCTGTGTCTGCAGCGTTTATTACATTCACTTATCCAGAAAATTAATGTATAAATCTGTACTTACTGCTTAATACTTGAACACGTTTTGCTTTGATACTGTTTTATAAATCCTACAACATGTTTTTAATACAAACTGTTGTACAAAGTTTGTTGTGCATTTATTCAAATATAAGCATCATAGAAATTTGGAAATGTTCAATATGCTTACAAATCTAAATAAATTGACCATTACATTGAACTAACCGGTGTATATTGGTTTTTAAGCGCAGTATACCCACTACAAATATGTAGACTACACCACTGAGTTCAGGTGTCTTCCATCTGCTGCCCAGATGTAGAACGAACAGACTGAACAACTCATTCATCCCTGCAGCGATCATGCTTCTCAACGAACAGTGATGATCTCTGTTATTTTAATGTCTTGTCTGGTCTGGATGTTTTAGGTGTCTGCTGACTGTGAAACAAATTGCCCCTCGGGGATAATGAAGGTTCTTGAAGAGAAAACCTTGTTGTGTCAGGATCCGTTCCTTGTTTGTTCAGAGTCTGCTTAGTGTTTTATGGTTAGATTAGTTTATGTTCATTCCTCGGTGGTTCAAACCTCTACAAGTCGTGACACCGTGAGCATTTTGTTTTGGAAAATTGTATTTTATTTTTGCAGCCTGTTATTGTCTAGAATTGTTCAATCCACATCGGTCAATAAGCTCAGATGGAAAGAAGGTACTCACGATGGAGTTCACAGCATCGTGGACATACTGCCTTTAGAGGAACAGCCCTCAACATTTCATATCTTTGTGCCACTTTTCATTATTCCTGATCGTTAAATTGAACCCACGGCTGCAGATTTAGGAGATAGGTCAAAGACGTGCTGAGATGTGAAGAGGTTTGCAGCTTTTAAAATGTGCCTAAACCTCCTTTATTACGGGTGTCTTTCAGAAGAGGCGTCTGTGACGTGTTGATCCTCTTTAAGGCAGCAGTCTGGACTTAGGTAGTGATAACCATAATCTCATTTGGCAGCGAGGCAGAGAAACTCCTCTGAACGCTCGGCAGAAGTTTAACCTCAAACGCCGCAGTGAAGGAGGGAAAACGAGCCAAAGCTTTCCAACTTCCTGAGCAGGATGGGGAACACGAAAAGTAGCGCTTTGTCAAAGGAGCTCCTGGAGGACCTGAAATCCAACACCAAATATACCGAAGCCGAGCTGTGCACCTGGTACCAGTCCTTCCTGAAGGAGTGCCCCGGGGGGAAGATCAGCAAGGAGCAGTTTGAAGGCATCTACGCCAGCTTCTTCCCAGGCGCCGACCCCACGGCGTACGCTCGGCACGTCTTCAGGAGTTTTGACACCAACGCAGACGGCACTCTGGATTTTAAGGAGTACATCGTCGCGCTGCACCTCACCTCTGGAGGAAAGACTCTGCAGAAGCTGGAGTGGGCCTTCGCCTTGTACGACGTGGACGGCAACGGAACCATCAGCAAAAACGAAATCCAAGAGATTGTTAGGGTACTTCTGATTCATTTCAAAATGCCTGTTTTACCTTTGACAATGTGTAGATTCATTAAATTAGAATTTGAATTGATTTTACCTGTTATATAATGATGAAAGTCTTCGGTTATAAAATTCAAAGTGTTTGATTCAGCAGCTACATAAATTGTTGATTTGGATAAGCTGATAGTTTAACAGTTCATTTGCTATGTGTGTTTTTGTGCAGTCATTGTTTGTGCAAAAAATAGCTACTTGAGTTAGCGTGCAATTAGCATAAATATGTCAAAATTTATTTCTGCATCTGTTTTTATAGTCAATATTTAACATGATCCCCGTCGAGGACCAGAAGAAACTCCCCGAAGATGAAAACACACCAGAGAAGAGAGCTGAAAAGATCTGGACGTTTTTCAGAAAGAAGGAAAACGGTACCCCGATGCTGTAATAAATCAGTGCCTCTTTGACAAATCAATAAAACGTTAAATGTTTTGTGTTGTTTGCAGATAAAATCACAGAAGGAGAGTTCATTCAGGGTGTGATGGACAACAAGGACATCCTGCGTTTGATACAATACGATGAACCACAGAAAATCAAAGACAAGCTGAAAGAGAAGAAGCAATAAACTGAACTTTTCCTGTAATTTTGACGTTTTGTTGGTTCGTTTACGTTTTAGCTTGTTGCGAACGCGTCTGTCTGAGTTTTGTCGTGATGCTGATTTAATTTTATTCCCAGAAAAGCAACAAAGTCTTTTTGTCTAATAAAACACAATAACAGCAAACTGGCCGAGCTGGATGGTGGATGTGAAGACGCACATTTAACACAATTCTTAAAGAGTTGGTCCAAACTTTGTGACAGTGATTAACCGTGTCCTCTGACTCGTCCACTCAGCAGCTCATCAACAGTCCAATTAGTCCGAGCTCGTGTTTTCACACTTGTTTTCATTCATTATATTAATTGAGACGAAGTCAGGGCAGGAGCTCCTTATGAGAGGAATTAGGCTCAGGTTAACAATCCGCCTGTTTCAGCTGATCCGATTAGGAGCTGAAGGTCAGCTGAGACAAACAGCCTCAGTACTCGAGTGCCCACTCAGGATAATAAGGACTTGACACGGAGAACGAGCCCCCACGTCTACCATTAGTTGGTTTTATTCAACGCAGTGTGGCTCAAAGGCGTCACACTGATACTGTTCTGTCTTTAATTTGAACTCTTTTGGTAATTTACCTGATAAAACCAGTCCCCTCGCAGGTATTAGAGGAAATAATGTGTTTGTAATATTAAAATTATGCCTTCAGTGGCTGATGAGAAATAAAAAGATGAAAAATAATTACATTTTTACTTTATGGTTTTGGTGTTGTTGGTTTTAGTTTTCCAAAACTGTTCATCCTTGAAACTAACGTTTATTAAACTGAATTTAAAGTCAAGAATAGTTATTTGAATTTTGATAAACCCTGCAGCTCTGAGTAGAGTGTGATCCTGAACAAATGAGAATTAATACAGCTTTTGCAGGCTCCGCCCCCTCCCTCTACGCTGTGCTTTGTCTCATAAGATGGAAGCTGCAAAAGTTCAGTCACTGGGGCTGATCGGTTGTTATAACTTAAAATATGACCATTTGTGTTACTGAAGTGAAAAGGGGGATTCAGATTCGTGAAAAAGTTTTCATTTGAATGAAAAAAATCCACTTTAAGGCAGAAATCTGCAGACTGTCTAATGTTGAATGAAATTTAAAGTGAAATGGGTGAAGCTTACCTCCTAACTTGAAATGCGCTACATTTATTTTGAGGTAAAAATGTGGAAACATCTTCCCTTCTTCTCTGGTGGTTGAGGTTTCCTGCCAACTGCTGCCAAAAAAGAGAACAGGAAGACGCAGTGCCAAACCTCAACTGAAGACGCAGTGCCAAACCTCAACTGAAGATGCAGCGCCAAACCTCAACCGAACACGCAGTGCCAAACC